CTCGAATCTGACACTTTCACGTTTAGACTCGACCAGTCACACGTCATTTTCGTGGTCCTCATCTGGTCTATGTAGAATTGTAGCAGTGAGACGTGGCCTATCTTGCGGAAATCTTTCGTTGCTTTCAACCGATTCCTCATCTGTACGATCTACTCCGTCATAATCCAGTGGAATTTCCGGTTCTGGTGTACCGCGAAACGGCCGCATGTTGAAAGCCTCACCTGTTCCCCCGAGAAAATCAAGCAAATTTATGATGAGCCAGAAAGCTCGGGTCTCTGCATCTGCATATCGCTTTTTACGGGCAGCATAGGTTCGTGGTGTCCACTGACCAAGACCTGACCAAAAGTATCCCTTTAAATCGTTTGGGCGTTTAACCGAATCAACGTCAACGTTTTGCGTTCCAGCTCTTGTTGAGTTGTAATTGGGGACTTGCGCAGATACTGCGTCGTTTCCCAGTTTTCCTGTGTCCGGCCTCCTGGTAATTCTTATTGCTTCATCTCCAGGCATTTCTAAAATAGTGCAGCTGGTTGTGCAGCACAGTGCATTTTTCATGTTTTCAATTTTCTTCAGCTGGGTAATGCCCACTTATCGCCTATTTGTTTGCCGAAGCTGCATCGATATGGTGCAAAAACTAAACTGACCACTAACCAGCACAGCAGTAATCTCAGAGGAAGTGTCTCCAGCTATTTTAAACTCCTCTAATGGGCCCTGGACAAGAAGGTCACTCGCAGTCTTAGCGAAAAACTGCTTGCGGGAGTACTACGGCTGCTTTATTGTTGGATCACAGCCGGCAAGCTGACCAACAAGCGTAACACCACTGATCGGAACAGGTAGGAGAACTGCCAGCTGCAAAACTGAGAGCTGTATCAAGAACTACAAATGATCCAGGCGTTCCAGGAACATTTTGGCTTTCTGTTCACAGAACTGTTCTTCGGCTATACAGTTGTCAATTTTTATTCCAGTTGCTTTGACCTGTGCCACATCGTCCGGTGGTGTTGATGTGCAGTTCATTCTCTCTAATTTTGGTTATTAAACAGTTCTTTTAGAGTTACAAGTAAAAATAGAATATTTATCGTTTTTATCAACCAAAATTGCGAAAACATAATAAACACATGCAAAAAATACCTCTGTAACAGAAGACTGTGAAGGATACTACTAGGAATAGAGGAATACGTTGTGTCATTTGCATGTTTCTGTCGAAACTGTTTTCACTGACTGATAGTGAAAATAGTTTTAATACACATATACACACACACCCGCACAGACACTAATACACGTACTTACGCACATACATATGGTTGTATCTGTTTGCGACACAGACAAACGCAATTATAACTGAAAACATGCTTTGCATATTTTAAAATGTGACACTCTCGGCCAAATAGTCGGTCCATCTTGCAAACTCATTTGTTTGCTGGCATAATAAACATCGAACTAGTTCATCTTTGCACTATTTTGTCAACAAATCGAGCACCACGCGTCAAGTACCACGCGTACAAATGCGGATATGTTGTGACTTATATGCGTTTAAGGGCAATTTTTGTATAGTTTTATCCAGTTGATGTTTGCGATTAAGATTTTTAAGGCACTCACTAACTTAAACTCGAAAACATGAAAAGCTAGAAGACTGGAATTTTATTGGGATATTCCCGATCCGTGTAGAACCTAGTGACTTCAAGCTCCGCCCCCATTTGCGCCTGATTTTCACGTACGGGCCACAGAAAATTTTTTGCCTACGAGAAATTAAACGGCCGCTCGAATGATCCTTGACATACAGAAAGAGCAGAAGATGAATGCTGTAAAACCCATGTTTGGACTTCCGCCTCCGTGGAATGAAATCCCAGGTACCCTATTGCATGTATCGTTTACGACGGTAAAGTGGAGCCCACTTTCTCGCTTACCTATTACGATTTTATTGTTACTGTCTTTTTCTAAGAATATTAGAACCTCCTGATAAATCGATGTAAATATTTCATGTTAACGACTTCACTGTTGCCTCCTGAGCCGATTGCAGCTATGCTAGACCCTTTTTCATGAAAATTTCAGTGAGAATACAGTGAGAATAGTGCATACTGTGCTTTTTCTTCGATCCTAACTTTTGTGGCGAAAAAAATTTTTGCTTCAAAATATTCACTGTTATGTCATTTGTAAATTCTTCAAATTTTATACGAACAAAACACAACAGCAAATAGTTGTCTATATAAAGGAAAAATAGCGGCGTGCACCAGAGTAGTCGATGCGATCATGCGTTTTTTGCAATTCCGTCCACCGAAAGATTGCCTTTCAATGATTTTCACTACTTTGCATTTTAGCTTGTGCCAAAATATTTGAAATGTTGAAAAATAGTAAAGAATTTCACGCACCGACATGTTAAAGCGGAATTTGAAACCTCGAAGGTGAGTGTCGCTCACCACCTCAATCTCCTAATTTTATGGTTTTCGAAAGATCCTTGAGAAAAAACTTTCACGTGGTCATACGCGAGGCTTCGGCATATTCAGGAACTCAATTAGAGTTTGTCAAACTCTGCTTAGGCAAGAAACACTCTGCTGAAATTTTCAGCCTACTAAGTCGTCTGACTCCCGAGAAATGATTTTTCTTGCCAAAACTTCCGCAAGGGCGTTGAAAATTTGCGAATTTGTATGAGCCTAAGATGCCATGCTAAAACTTCATCTTCCTAGCTTTTGCAGTTCACTAGACAATTTCCCTGCAAAAATTTTCACGGTCATATGTATTACTCAGGGGATGCGTGAAGGATGATTCCAAACTTGCGCAGTTGTACACTGATAAGGGACGTTGCCCTGAAACTGTGGTGTCCAAATTTCGTTGTTTCCGAGATAATAATTTTCCCCGCCAAAATTTTCACTGGGCCATGAGAGATACCTGAGAGCGCGGGAAGGCTGAATTTGAATTTGCAAAATTGTGCATGGACAGGGGATCATTACCTTAAAATGTCAGCTTCGTAGACTTAGCGGTTCCGGAGATAATAATTTACCCGCCAAAACCTTTGTGAAGCCGTATGTGTTACTCGCGGGTACGAGGAGGCCGAATTTAAATTTATGGGATCACAAGTGGATGGGGAACATCTATAAATTTCCAGTTTCCTAGCTTTAACGGTTCCCAATTTGAAAGTTGCGGACAAGTTGCTGCACATACACACACAGACAACATCGTGACGATATGCGTTTTTTCCTGCAGTTACAAAGCACAAAACATAATGAAAAACGTTACAAATCTGTCAAACCAAAAGTCCAAATAGCAACGGGCACGGGGGCGTTCGGTGTAAACATACGCTTTGGCAACCTAAAATTTTTTGCACTCCCATTTATGCAGTCAGCATCTGGCTGCTTCAAGTTTAATGCAAAAAGCAAGACTGGAGTGTTGTAACCTAGGCTCAATTTGCATAAAAATGAAAAACGCAAGAAATGACAGCTTAAAACGGCGAATAGAAATGACAAGACTTAAAATTTTTCTTTCAAGTTTTAGGAGAATTTCGCAGCAAATCTTCTACTTCGCTTGACACTTCTTTGGGCTTTCAGTCAGACAACACTGACTGAAAATTTCACTCAGTTCCTCGAGGCCGAGTTTCTCCTGTGATTTTTCAGCTACGTGAATTTTGTCAAGCACTTCGGCCAGTTTTTCGGCTTCTCTTTCATCATCACTTCGTTGCATTCTTTCGATCGTCTCCTTCAAACGCATCTCGCATAATTCTTTCTCATACTTTCTTACCTAAAAATGCACCATACAACATTTTCAAGTTAAGAAAAATTACGCCATTTCTAAGATTCTTTATAGGATTGGTGTGCAAAAGGTTTTTGGTTTTGGAATATAGCCGAGCTAAAGGTGTTAAACACCGAACAAGACTTACGAACAGATACACATAAAAAAAAAGCCTCAACATGCTTTTTTGCATTTCGGAACCTGGAGCCATTTTCCCTTTAGTAATATAAAGAAATTTGGAAGAGAAGTTTTTTTTTTTTCAAATTTTTGCACATCAGAAGTCAAAAACTCAAAATCCTCTCCTTGCCCACTTCATTTGACAGGCGGAGATAGTTCGAAAATAGCCTGGGTGATAGCAAATAACAATAGCAGTCACTCTCTGGCAAGGTCGTCATTGGCGCCCTTATCGGAGGCTTTTATACAAGCAAACTAATGGCGAGTTTTTCCTGGAATATGCCAGTACCATCGATGAGAATGAACTAATCTCAGTGGATATTGGTTGTCTCCGGCGGTGGAAACAAAAAAATTGGGCCTACAGCAGTTTTCAAATGATAAATAACGTCGTAATATGCGATGTATTTTTCATTTTCCGAGGATTTTAGCGCGAAAACCAAAGAAGATGTATCCAAATCGAATCTATATCAGAAAGCACAAAAAGCACAAGCGATGGCATTTAATTAATGCACATCTTACCAGTTCTGCGTCAATTATGAAATCCCGGACCCGCGCAGATGCGCGGCGTAATTTATAAGTAGCGGCTCGGCGGGCAAGGTAGCCGCTTTCTTCTGAAACAGTCGTTTCCGACGGATCACGGTTTTCCGCAGATTCCACCCTAAACACTTGTACTTACGCACAAATAACACACAGTTGATAAGACAATGTAAAATAAAGCTAATTTAATGACTGACATCAAAGCGCTTCTCCAGGAAGATTAAATGAGCCGGTGTTCTCCGTAAGAAAGAACACGGTCGCTGAAGTCACCATTAGACTGAACAACATGCGCTGCAACATTCGTCAAAGCAAATGGTACTGCTATCGGCTACGTAGCAGAAGAAAGACGCGCAGCAAGCAAACTGGCTCTTAAGTAACCACGTCTTGCTAATAGGACACGCAGAAGACCGACACCAATACGGCGTACAAATCCGTTAAATTTGCTCCCTAGATGAGAGGGCTCAGCGTAGAGAAGTTGGCAGCTACTTCAGTGGAGAGAAGAAACATGACAATGAAACAGTAAGCTCCTCCAAGTAAAGTACCAGCACTCACTGATTTTGAATGGTACCACTGTTCAAGTATCATAAAATGGAACATTTTGTTGCTTAAATAATGCAGATTTTCATTGCCAGCGATTCGACGGGAGCAAAAAATAGGCGCACCAACCAAAGATTATTCAGAACGGGCAGGCCTGGGTGAACTTCAACCTAAAGTTTTCAGTTTAGGAAACACCATCCGCAGCGTCAAACTCGGCTCCTCAATCCTGCTCCCCAATCCGGATCTCAGATTTCCCTCCGCACAAGAAAAAATTTACTTTGCTAGTTTTCGCGGCGCTTCATCTTCTGCTGCTGTCGAGGACTTTCTCTTTGTGGATTCTGTTATACTTCTCAGACAATTCCTGCGTCCTATCAATTTGCTTGAATCAGAGTCTGACATTCCTCTCGTTTTTCAGAAAGAATCTAAAACACGTGTTTCAGCAAAGTAAAATACGAGAGTGAGTGAAATTTACGAAAACCGGCCAGACTCCTCTCTCATCACCCCTATGCCTTCCTGCTCAAATTTTCACCTTCCGCTTCCCTTGTTTTTTTATCCTTCCCATTCCCTTTCTGTATTTTTCTTCTCCATTGAGCTGAACGACTGACCACTGACTGTCCAGCGTTACTAACCCCCCTTGGCACATATGAAAAACAAACAGGAAAAATTTAAATTGGGAAGACTGGAGCAGTCTCATGTGGCGACCAAATGCTTGACCAAGACGCTATACACGTTTGATCACTTCCGAAAACCATATCAAGACCGCCCTGATAATCGCTGCAAGTAGCCCTATTCTACTTAATTTATTCAGTACTAATTTCAACCCTTTATTAAATGAAAGAAGATGAATTTATCCTTTTCAATAATAAAGCGGTGAAGTTCGCACAAACGGGTAGCTCGGAGCAGTAAGGACCCAGGCTGGGACACACCGGGAGAGCTTGCGCGATCACGCGTTTTTGCACCGGACTTGTATTACTCAGGTCATTAACTGTACGAATTGCTGTTGCTTTACACCCACCTGTTACGGTCACTAGCATAAATCACCATAAAGTTTGCAATGTACTTGTATAATTTTCATATAATTTCTAGTTAACAGTCGTTCTTTAAAAGTGACCTAGTTGTTCAGTGAGAAATGTTTTTGTCAAGACTTTTAAGTGCCCGTACGTAAGAAACACGCATACTTCAAGGCTGAATTTGAAATACTTAAGTTTTGTTTGGACAGGGAACATTCCCTCAGCTTTTCTGGTTACCGTGTTAGCAGTTTTCCCGCCGAACCTTCAAATACCCGTACTTGGGTACTCCACGTGCTTGGAAAGCTGAATCTGAAATTTTCAAATTACACGTGGGCAGGGAATATCCGCCTAAAATTTCAGCCCTCCAGTTCTTCTGATTGCCGAGTTAGCAA